AATATATATATTTCTCAAGAAGGTACATTTACACTTATCTTCTGTAGAATCTTTGTAACCAGTGTTTCTGTTGAGTCTTGCCCCCTCCAGTGGTCAGTTGTGATACAGAGCTTGGCATTATAAATATTCAGAAGTGATTAATATTTTAAATATAATCAAATTTAACCGCGAGTGTTATGTAACAAGGTTAAATTACACTTGGTGAAACATTAATTTGAGTGGGACTATTCAGCCAAGTGCCAATCCAGAGATTTGATGGGTAAAATCTGAATTTCAATTTCTCTAATGCAGCAGTTATCACAAATACATTCCAATACAAATATATACATCATAAGTGAACTTCTATCGGTTTTCCTACCAGGACAGCAGCATTCATAAAACATATCAGAGGAAGAAGAGCACTGCATTCCGTCAACCAAAAAATGTAATAAAAAACATGGCATGGAGCTCAAACTTCTTTCAGGTAGGCTTTCTTTTTAAAAGCAGCAACACGTGAACATTCAATATGAATAGGCAGCCCTTTAATACAGAGAATAGAAAAATAGATTTAAACTTATTGTAAATAAGCATTTATAAAACACTGGTTATCTGCATAGGTGAAGCATTTGTGCCATACCTATTGCCTTTTGGATTGAGTCAGATATATTTCAGAAACAATTATACTTCATTTGTCAATACATTGATGTGTGTGTTAAGAGAATTCTGAGGTTGTGTTGGAGGTCTGGAAGGGGGCCGGACTGGAGGGGACGGAGTTGTCTGGACTCCCAGGAGTACGCAGCGTATTTTTTCGCTTCCCATTGCGCACTGTGAGTTCCTCTTTGGGCTTGAACGTCAGAGGCACAAAGCCGTCTGCATCTGCTACAAGCACAATCCACAATGGACCTGCAAAATAACAACACCATTGGCATAAGCATGGATTTCTACACATCTGAGATTAATTATCCAATGCAGTTTGTGATATCCATTACTGATAGTATGTCACTTAAGGACAGATATACACTACGCTCATTAAAAAGTAGTAAGCTGCTTTTGTTTAAACCTCGTAATCTCACCTAGGCTTTTAATCACTTCCAATTATAGCTAACGGATGCTAAAAGAACAACAACGCTAAAATGTTTTGTCAACGATTGTACATGTTCTTTATTATTTCAAATAAATTCTGATTGGGTTATTTAAAGATTTCAAAAAGTTAAAGAAGTAACGACATAAACTTGGACAACAAAATTATCTGATGACGTTAAAATGATGTCACTAGGGTAGCTCGTCACACAAGCTAGCTGAAAATACTCACAGCGGGGTAGTACTTCCGAAGTGGCCTTCAAAGACTTTCCTCTAAGTCGTTTGAATTAATCTACTCCGTACACTCATTGTTAATCTCACAGGCAAGAAAAGGGTGGTGTATATACCACTTTGTAGTATAGAAAAAACGATCTAAGGACAAAACTGAAGGCAACTACACCATTGGAATTACTTTTAAATGAATTGAGGCAAAAATAATCTTTGCATACCATATGTCATCTCAACAATGGTGAGGTTGAAGAGCTCTTGGAGGGCACGCAGACACAGCTTCCCGTCACACAGCAGCACTGGCCTCCGCTCATCAATGAACACATTTTCTGATAACTGCTTCTGCAAATGCGCAAATGAGGAAAGCAAAGAGAAACAGTCAAAGAAAGTTAAGCTGGATGCTGTTATAACAGATCTATCTTGATCTGATACCTGACATTGAAAGCACATTAAACAATTCCAGGTATTTACGTTGTCTTATCCTTAAATTCCCGCTAATTAAGCTCTTTAAGCCTATCAATCAAAAGCCGCTAATGGCAGAGATTGTAGAAGAAAGGGAATCTTCATCTCTATAGCTGGGTAATTATAATCCAAGCATAGCCAGTTACAAATACACAGAGAAAATGTAGGTAAACATTTTAATTAAACTGTACCTGACATGTGACATTGACGTAGGGGGGTTCAGAGGCAGTGGGGTAGACACTCGGGGCCTTCTTGCCATTCTGGTTATAATCTCTGATTTCTCCAATGCACTGTTGCACATCTGCAAAGCGAGTAAAAAGCCTCTCCATGTTATGAACGAGCTGCTCCAGCGTGCGCTCCTTGGCCTGGCTTGGTGTCTTTTCAGCCATTGGCAGTGTGGCATCTGTGTGGAGTTTGTCCACCGGTTCGGGGCGAGGAGAGTTGGTCCGGCTGGGGTCCCTGCTGGGCTGGCCGGCCACCGCCAGGCTGGTCATGCGGTTGACATGCTCCATGTCAAAATTCTCTACTGTGATGGAGGAGGCACTGGATGTGGCTGATGTCTGCTCAAAGAACTCAACGGAGCTGGTGACGGGGCTGGGCTCGCCACTCCTCACTTCCTCCACCAGCCTACGCCTGTTGCCTGGTGAGCGAACAACTCCCCCTCCAGGCAACACCAAATCCTTTATCCCTCTGTGCTCCCTGTTATCCTTGGACTGGTGCTCTGAGTGCCTTCTAATCCCTGCGAAGAAATTTGAAGGTGACTCATGGTTGAGAGGAGAGGGGGAAGGTGGGACAGAAGTTTCTTCATCAAGCATCAGCTCTTTAACTATGAGTCGAAGAATATATTTATCCGTGTTAGACGATGGAAGAAAGGCAGGGTCATTGGACTTCTGCTTGCCCACCATCAACAGCAGCATCTTGTCATTGAGGAAGCACACTCCTTTAGGTTTCTCGTTTGTCTGCAAAGAGATCTGCTGAATGTTCGGCATGGCAGAGGCTGTAATGCAATACACAAGCACCATGTTGCAGGTGTTGGAAGCCACGGCGACGGTGGAGCCACGTGGGTCAAAGGCCACAATGTCTGGAACCAAAATACCTGGGATACTGACTTTGCGACTTGTGGTGACTTTACGCTCATAGGTGACCAGGATGAGGTATGAGGAGTCCTGACCAGTGCCTGTCAAGGTGTCTCTGCGACGCAGGTGAATAAGGGGGCTGGGGTCAGAGCGACGATGCCTGGCCAGGAGGTGGGTGAGATCTAAGGGGCCTGAACAAGGGATGTATGACCTATCTGAATCAAAAGACCTTCTTCTCGAGTCCAGAGGAATGTCTTCTTCTGACACATGAGACCCGTCACCCTGCACAGACTCTGCCTCTGGCTGCATGTCGAAGGCCATGCCTGCATTTAACCCACATATTTTATCCAAAGGCAGCTCTGTAGCTACAGCTACTTGAGCCTCTCCTGTGGCCTCGATAGCACATATGTAGCCTCCTACATCAAAAATGGGGCAAAAAGAGCAGGCAGCAAGACTTTTCTGGATGTCATTCCAGATGTAAGAGTGTAGAGAGCTTCCTATAGCCACTACCAGGCGCGTACCATCCTTAGTCCAACATGCACAGTGGATAAGTCCACTACCTTTGATGTCCGCTTTAATTCTCCTGTTGTCCACCCTGACAGAAAAAAGCACATTAGTGTCCTTCTTGGTCAGCACAGCCAGAATGTCCAGTTTAGGATGCCACACACAGCCTTGGGAGAGCAAGGGGAAGGGCTCGCTCATCTCACAGGTCTGAGTGCACAGCAGTTTGTTCTGCTCCAGTGCACTGAGCTGCAGTTGCCACACGGTAACATGTTTCTTGTGCTGAACAGCCAGCAAGGCAGGAGAGTCAGAGCAGCACAGCGGGCCCCAAAAGAGCCCAAGGACATGCTCAAACTGCCCAATTACGTTAGTGTCCCCGAAATGCACCTCGCCATTGACGAAGAAAAGAGATGTCAGGCAGACCTGCTTGCCGTCTGTCCATGCTATCCCGTGCACAGGGTGGATAGCTTGATGTAGAGTGTTGAGACCCGTCCGAAGCAGCTTTGCCTTACCAAGATCCATCCTGGCAGGTATTAAGAACCTTGTTCAAAGAGAAACACAAAAATGAGTCAGAACATTGATGACAGAGACAACTGAATCTGGTGTGATCAGGTCCTGCAAAAGGAGTATTCTTGCTAATGCCTTTACCTATGCAGATTAAGAAAAGCCTCTCGTTTCTCCTTCCAAGTACATGCCTTAATCCCTTCTGCCTGAGCTGAGGCAATGGTGACGAACACTTATAGCTGCTTACGCCTGAATGACCTCAACAACACACTGGTCTTGTCAGGTCTTGAGGGCATTAACAATACAATGGGTTGAGCCTCATCACAGCATTTCCTATTTTAGATCAGGTGAATCTGCCTTGATCGCTTTGAGTCAATTAGGTCGCCCCCTTATCAAATAGAGATGTTCTCTATTAACAGAGGTCAACAGAAAAAGACAAGCATTGAATTTAAAAGTCAGTTTGCAAGTGAAATACAATTGAGAATTGTTACAATATGTAAATATGAATATAACAACAGTATGGAGAAGTTGCAGGAAATTACTTAAGTCAAATGTACTTAGGCAAGGATATATTTACTTCACATAAGTGGTCAAAATGTAAAAGTTATAAACGTATACACCATTATGACACGCAGTTTAAAATGTCCTACCAACGTAACTCATTATGTTGTAAACATGTAGCATGCCAACTAATAATTGCAGTACAAATACAGACGGACATGTAATTTTACTATACGTACCTGATAAAACCACCAGCATCTCATGTGGAGTCTGCGTGAAACACTTAAAGCGAGTCTCCCATCCTCTAAATCACGTTTTGCCGGTTGAAAATGTGTCTGAAATGTTCATATCTATTTGACTCGGAAGCAAAACCAGCAGACATTGTAGGTGCACTCTGGGAACTGTAGTTGGATTATAGTCGTTTTATGTTTGCCACTTTGCCAGCTCGTTGTCGCTGCGTGTGTTGATACAAAATAATTGACATTAAAGGGGAACTTAAACGAAATATTGGTTGTGAAAAATTACTTAGATAAAAAGTAAACGAGGAGAAATAGCACAACTGCTTAACATAGCTCACCCACCGTGTGGCGCAACGCTGGAGACGACGTGCGAGGTGCAGACAGTTTGTAATCTCGACGCTGTCTCGCGATAGAAAATATCTTTGCCGCCCCACGGTTGGCTGCAGCTACGGGTCGGTAGTATTGGGTGAATGCATGGTTCCCACCGATACAGTCCGACTTGTAGCCGCAAAACGGATAACATTTGCTTCCATAACGGCGTTTAAGGTTGCATGATTCGAGCACATTTTTGAAGTAGTACAATCATGGGCGTGGACGTCGAGACAATATCTCCCGGTGATGGTAGGTTGATTTATCCGCTTGTGTGTGCTTTGATGCGGGGGTGGTGGTGGTCTTGGGGCTCTGTAGTTCGCCGGAATGTCTGGTTAAATGTCAACATGCTTTACATAAAATATGAAGTTTAATGTAAAAGCAGGAAAGATAATTAATATGTTAAAATATTTTGCAAGATACTAACAGTAACGTAGTATTCGGGATATAATTAGGGGTCTGTATACCCTATGTATTCACCATCTCTGACGCCTGCATGACTCCTTTCTAGAATTCTCCATACTTGACGTTGCTGCTGTTAAACGAGTGAACTGTGATAAGTATAACCTGCAAGTAATGTAAGCTATCTGAGATTTGGCAGACAGGATAAACGTTTGATCAGGTGCTAGACATGGAGGACTGTTCCGCAGTTATCTCTCTCTGTCAAACGCACTAATAACCCATTTAGAGGCTTTCGATTGCCCCCTAAAAAAAGAAGCCTCCAGTGTTAAGTTTCAAAATGACGATGGGACTAATAACAGATGCATATCTGACTTCAAATGTCTGCAGGCACGAAGAGAGAATGGCATTCCTGCCAGGGACACTTCACCAGACTTAACCCAGTGATTGTTAATTTGAAAGATAAACCTGAAGTCTCCTACGTGTACAGACAAACAATAACAAATGTTTCTTTTTCTTCTTTTTGACAGGAAGAACATTTCCAAAGAAGGGCCAGACATGTGTTGTTCATTACATAGGTAACCCTTTCTTTGTGCCTGTCGCCTTGTTGAGAAAATACATTTATTTGTGTGTGAGTGTGTGTTTTTTTGACAACACTTTTAGCAAAACACAGCTAAGTTTGGAACCTATGTCTCACAGTGTACACATTCTACAAGACATGTATGCACCTGTGTGTCGCCTAAAGTTTCAAAGAAAGGTATGAGCAGACACCACACCCAGGAAACATTAGTTTATTTTGTTTTGTTTGAGAAATTCATGTCTCATTGTGTCAATACCATTTTAGAGACTGTTAAAACTTGCACAATGCATATAAAATAATCTAGTGCATACAAGCAGACACACATACACAGAAACGTGAGATTACCCAACAGTAAGGTGGGGCAGTAAGATGCTGAGATACCTCGGAAATACATTTGGGTTATTCAATGCCTCAGGGTTGGCAGACCAGACAACTAGGTCCGACAGAAACTAAACAAAACCTCATTCACAGTCATCAGTCTGTCTGTGTATCAGTGTTATTATGACATGGCTATAAAAGTCACGCTTCCTGGCTTTGGCTCTATAGTATAGTCTAAGAATAACAGCTTTAATTGTGTGTAAGTATTGTTGTTTTGAATGTTTGTGCATCCGACTTTAGCCAATTCTTGCTACCCCTGAAGCTGGGGATTTTACTGCCTGTCATTCAAAATGGATTCATGTGGATTTCCTAATCGGATACCATTTGTTATTGGACCTGACTCTTTTTATAGTGTTGAGTTGAATAGACAGATATCCGCTTTGTTTGAATAGTGTGTGTCCGCCAACTGTGGATAACAAATGTTGTGTTGTTGACTATTGAGGACAGTGGAAAAAGTAACCAGATTTCCCTTTGGGCCTGATCTCTTCAGAGATAATGTGCAGCCTAGTCTAGACTCTTGTAACAGCTCATAGTCTATCACTGAACCTCAGCCCCTCCCTTTTCATTGTACTTATTGTGGATCTTTTTTCTCTATTATCACAAACGCATCATACACTTTTTTTATTGTACTTCCTTCCTGAATGGAATAAAACTGTCATGTCTGTTACCAGGACTTTTTTCTTGTTGACTCACAGGACAAAAACCTCTTAGTATCCTGTTAGTTGAAGGCATTTAAATGCATAGTTAAGCCAAAGCAAGCACTTTGTCTATGGAACACAAAAGGCGCTATAAATATGTAATTGTATCAGAAGGGGAAATGTGTTTGCAGGTCATAGATTGAAAAGAATGTACTAGTGTTTACAGATAGAGCTGTGTGAAAATAAGACCTTATTGTTGAACACAAGCGAGGAAATTAGCTTAAGAATGAGGTTTTGTTAGAGATAATTACAGCATTAACATTGTAATAACAAGTAATTTTAGACTGTATGCAATTGTAAGTAAGTCCCCAATCATTTGACGATGGTTTAAAGAGGTATTTCTCATTTATTTGAATTTCATCAGAAAAAGTAAACCTACAACACAGATGAAAAAAAATCTATTTAGGTAATCCCTTAATAATTGGTATTGTCAATCAGTGTTGTTAAATTATCATGCATTTGTAGAAAAGCTATACTAAACAGGATTTAAGATAACTCACTTTCAGCACTGTAACCTGTAGTAGAGACAGACATGACCCCACATTTGTTTTACTTTAAAGTTCAAATAGAAGATCCTATAAAGCTAATAGAGGTTAGCTGTAGATCTGGGACATACGCCTGTCCAATCATCCAGCTGACTATTTGTGCAAAACCCCAGACTGCACCCTGCCTTCTTAGTTTTCCAGACAGCGGAGCTTAGAGGAACAGTAAAGGTAGGGAGAGAGTGATTTCCCAATACATAATGGGATTAGAAACCACTCTGTGGCCAGCAATAAACATTAGGGAGACTCATTCTCACAGAGGCTCTTTTACACTCGCTCACTGCCATACCTTTTTGAACCACACTTTCACCTTTGGGATTTTAAACATGCAAATACACACATTGCAGAGACACACAGATATGTGAGTGACTCCCCCCCCCCCCCCCCCCCCCCTTTCAGCTATGGTGAGAGTTGCCCAAATTAGCGTTGAGTGCACATTGCCGCAAAGCAGGTAAGGGCTTAGCTCGGACAAAAATAATTGGGAGAGCTGCTCCCTCTTTCACACACATTCTTGTTCCTGTCATGCCTGACTGACTGCCAGTCTGCAGCTCTATCAGCGGTCAATCTTACAGCAGTGTTGCACAGACAAGTGTCTGGTGTGGGTCAAAGATGTGGCCGTAGACAAGTTTATCTGCTGGTTTATAGTATAACTGGCCTTGCTACCAATGTGTACATGTCCAGGAGAGGGGAAAAGCTAATGGTTACTTAGTTGCCTGATACATGGACAGATTAAGGGGGCTGTTGGAGGCTGTGAGTTAGAGTGGTCGTCTACCAATCGGAAGGTTGGTGGTTCTAATTCCAGCCTCTGCAGACAACAAGTCTATGTTTCCTTGGGCAAGATACTTTACCCTGAGTTGCTCCCAATGGCATGGTCAATGGTGTGTGAATGTCTGTCTATGTTATTCTCCCTGAGCATGTGGCGCCTTCTATGGCAGATGCCTCGGTATGAATGTGTGTGAATGAGTGAATAACTTATATATGTAAAAAGCAGGCTCGCAAAGACTAGAAAATGAAACATAAACACTGTCCATTTACCAGTTTCATTCATGGGTTTGAGAAGCTTTTAGGAGAGGCTTCTGTTCCCTTTTTTGCACCAGGCTTAGCCATCAATCCTGCCATCACAAGCTCATTTCTCTAACTGCTGAAGAGAAATGGAAGCAGACCTGAAATCAGTCAATATGAAAAGAATTTCAGCAGCCTGTGGGTTTCCGTGATCAATGGAGTTTGGCTGTCGGCTACGATGATAAACAGCCTTGCCGCCCTGCACTGACAAGACGCATGAGCCTTGGTAGCAGCAGGCTTACTGGATATGATGTCATGCCTAAATGTGGACGTTCTTCCTTACCATGTTTGAGCTCCAGACTTACCACAAAACGTGCTGAGACCTAACGGGCCTCGGTGTGTGACACAGAAATAGATGGACACTGAAACACGGGGTTGTATGTCAGGAGAAGCCAAACTCTCCTTCCGAGCAAGAATGTTGTGATGAAGTACCCTGGGAAGTGTTCAATCCCAACATTGTCAAGTTAAGGCCCTGACACACCGAGCCGATTTCGGCCGTCGATAGATGTCTGGCCGCCGATGAGCGTCCTGTCGCCCTACTCAGATTGGTGTGTCCCGCACCGTCGTGTCTTTTCGGCCGTACCGACACCTTCAGCAAAAGGCTGTCGGCAAAAGAAATCACTCTGATTGGTTGTTCAGCTTAGCGAATCAGTGCATGAGAAGCAAAACGGAAAGGAAGAAGGCACACACAGACGGCTATTATTTTTCGATTATAAGTCGTTATGTGAAACAGTCTGTGATGGACGAGAGTGAAAATGGAACGCACGCTATTTGTTGTTTGTATATATCACGCAGTCTGTCTTCCGGTTGCCTCTTTTAAATGACGAATACACACTACCGCCGCTTGCTGGTAAGGAGAGTTATTGCCACTCACGCATGCGCAGTGCGTACGTGCTACTTGGCCGTCGGCTGAAGTCTTTGCGATGTGTTCCAGTGCGACTGTTAGGCCAAGACACAGGAGACGTGAGGCGACACAACAATCGGGTCCGTCGGGACGTGTTCTTTGGTGTCAGTTTGGTGTGTCAGGGCCTTTAAGGAAAGCAACAGAGGAGTTCATACAGCTTCTGAATGAAGACAGAATCAGCTTGAACTTTTGCTGAATTGTGGCTTCCATGAGCCCTGGTGCAGGAACACCACGTCATTCTATATGAAGTTGCCTTTGTGTTTGACCCTTTAACAGCTTGTCTTACGATAGAGGGGAGGAACAATGTCCCTTACAGAATAGATGGGCCAGGGATATGAGGAGAAATAGGACAGTGGTGTTATGGCACATGAATAATTATCCAGCAAACCCTGCTGGTCCACAGAAGAACCAGGGCACCCTGTAGCTTGTTTAGAATGTACTCCTGTTAAACAGGACATTTTAATTTAACTGGGTTTAGTCTGTAATAGTCACACATGGTCATGTACACAGCTATGCGCACACAATTACATTTAGGGCCCTGGAGGCACCTCTCAAAGTAGTAGTCCACTCAAAATACTTTGCCTGTTCTTGGACTTGAACCAGTGACCCTCCGGTTGTTTACAATGACTGCCTTCATTAACATGTGCAATGATTGGTAAAGCAACTTTTAAACTCATAGAAGTTCCTAAGGATCTGTGCTGCAGCAGTGAATTTGCTGTATATCGTCTTTTCTTCTGATTTTATATACACCAAATAACACATCAATCTGCCACTTCATGAATGAATCATGAACAAGATTGTAATCTTTCGGGCTTGCAGCTGTGAAACGAGACACATTTAAGTTTGTTGCAGACAGATAGCTTTGCACGCATCTTATTTCATCCGCACTTGGGCCGAGGGGGGTTGTTTTGCTGGCAGACGTCGTAGACTGGGGGTGAGACAGGATACAGTAAACTTGAGTAAAAATAACCCCACCCCTGTGTGCCACAGATTTTTGCAGGTCCAGCCGGAGCACCACCAAGTGAAAGCCTTTCATGAAGAGAGAGTGTGGGAGTCAGCCGCAGGAAGGGAGGGGCTCTGCTTTATTTTTGCATAGACCCCACCCATGCTAAACTGTCCAAATAGTGATAACGGAGCACTGATACAAATGGGGAACCCCTACTACATATGTATTCAATTGAGCTGCATGTGTAACTGCTGCACAAAAACCGTGTAGGGCTGTCCAAAGTGCCATGTGACATCCCCTTTAAGGTGCATACAATACTAAGCTTTCAAAAATAATATAGGTAGCCATATCTTACTAGTTTGCCATTATGGGTAGTAGTTGCTGCAAAGTTCTTAAACATAGGTTAGCTAGCTCACATGTCATACATTACAATGAGTCATGGGTCAAGGGTGATATATATTTGTTTATTATATTTTGGTTCAAATTAATGTTTATTTTGAGACAAAACAAAAAACACTTTTTCAAATAATAATCCCCCCCCCCTGTTGAAGACCCATGCATTACACAATGGATTATCATTCTGCTGTGTATTTGTTTTCACAGGAAACAATGAGCAGGTGGTGTTTTCTCCTTTGTTGAGCTTTTCTTTCTCAAACTGGTTTAAGCCAGTTGCCACTGCTGCTATAAACCCTGTTGCTGCCTCCTCCAATACAGTTGGAGTTTTCAACAGTAGCCACTCCTTTTAGTGTATACATGGAGAATATTTCACCAGTAGTGTTAAGATATCTCACTTTAACACCATCAGTTTCTAAGCAGACCCCCCAGCTAACCAGGATAATTAATTGTGCAACGGCTAGGATATAATTCCTCAGTGGCTTCCCAACTGTGAACATTGCCAATAAGGGTTTCCTTCCAAGTTGCATCGACCACTTCCAGAAACTGAACCTTCTTTTCTGCAGTTGATGAAAGATGGTTTTGCCTCTCTGCTACTCGGGTGCCCTGCAGCAGGTGGTGTTTGCCTTGGGTCGTGCACTTGATGACTCCATGGTTGGACCGAGCCCACCACACCGATGTCTGGGCTACCGTGTTTCTTGGAAATGATGGACCTATTAAGCTTAGGGGGAATAAAAGGGGAGAAGTACAGTAAATACATTCATATGATGAGATGACTTCAGTTAACGCACAACATTAAATGCCAAGTATTCATACTTGCTGAATTACGGCAGGGAAAGATAAATCAAAGGACTATCCCAGAGCGAAATCTCCAAAACGCAAGTGGATGATCTGGACAGTTTTTGCATGACGCCACTTTGACTCCGGTTGCGTGACTTGTTTTAAATGTGATTCATTAGATTAGACTGTATTCCCCCAGGCAGTTAGGCATAATGTAGGATGTTGCCAAACTATCATATATTGGTCTTTTTACATGTATGTAAAAATGACTTAGTTTGTAGAATATGCTTTTTTTTTGTTGGTTCTTGGTGTATCACATATGTTGAAATATTGCTTCATGTGGTAACAGAGTTTTATTTATTTTTCATTAATAATTAAATATGCCGTACTCGAACACTGTTTGCCTACAGTTTGATATTGCTTGTTCCACCAAGATAGTTATCCACAGAAATGAATAGACTGCCTTGTTGATGTGGTCAGTAAGTTCACTTGAGGTATCAGTAAGACAGCCTTACTTCCATTGGCAGCTTGGATTCCCTCAAGGGAGAGTGGCTAAGGGAAGTCAACAGGGCATGTTAAAATGCCTGATGAAGTGGGGGCTGTGCCTTTAGCAGTGTGTAATGGCTCCAATGTTATTATCATGTCTGAACAAACGGTGGGGCAGTGTTCTGAAGTAGCGGAGTCCTGCACCACTCCGCCTTTCTTACCCTTTTCTCCCTGCAGTCTGAATACAGGCAAGCCATGGCCTAGTTAACTTTAAAAATAATCTGCTAAACCAGGCCAATGCTTCCTGATTCACATTCCCTTTGTCTATTTGCGTAATTGAAACAGACCCAAGATCCTGATAAGAAGCCGCGACAGAATAATTTCTCAGACCGGAGCCAGAGTCACTTTATTTCTTCAGTCTTAAAATGCCTTTTCCAAAACATTAGCTACTGAGGAAAGGGCGTGCATTCATCTTGCATCCCACTGTGATAAGAAACGATAATGAATTAAAGTTAGGAACAGTACTATTAGTCATGAGAATATTTACCTGCAGATGTGTGCTTTGTTTTGTTTATTTTGCATCAGATGACCAAAATGCGTAGTTTCTTAACCACATGCTTCACTTCTCTCTTTGGCAGGTATGCTGCAGAATGGGAAGAAGTTTGACTCTTCTCGAGACAGGAACAAGCCTTTTAAATTCAAGATTGGTCGGACTGAGGTCATAAAGGGCTGGGAGGAAGGAGTAGCACAGGTAAGAGCAGAAATTCAAAACCCACAAAAAACTAGTTATATTGTAAGGCTTTTACTTAGATCTGTGATGTTTAAAGGAATCAGACCAACCAGCTTGTTACAGCTGTTATTCTTTTCAAACCTGTATTGTTCTGTGAGAATAAAGAAAAGGAGACATCTGAGACGGGAGTGTCAGAGACAATCTGCCATCCAGCATCATTTTAAAGTGATACTCCTCCCAAATCAAAAATGTGATACTACCTTTGACACCTAGCAAGTTTTCAAAGGTACTGCTTTGGTATCACTTTAAACTATCAAAGTTAATCCTTTTCTCAATGTCAGAGTTTCCTTGCATATTGTCATTCATCAGAGATTAAATGTCTAGTGAATTTTTTTAATTACTACTGTAAATGTTTCAAAAGTTTGATGTAGGATTTCCCCTGAGGAACTGTTAAAACAAACAAGTAAAGACAATGTTGGCTGTGCTCATTTTTCATCACAAGCAGATTTAATGTCACTGTTTGTTGAATATGTTAACATGCTAATAAACAAAAGAAGGCAATTGTGAGTAGGGCTTTAAAACAGCATCAAAAAGTCATCAGCAGAATGCAGGGTAATTTTTCCCTTTTTGTTTCTGATCATCAGATGAGCCTGGGCCAGAGGGCCAAAATCACCTGCACACCAGATATGGCTTATGGAACCACAGGCCACCCCGGGGTCATCCCACCGAACGCCACACTTATATTCGACGTGGAACTGCTCAAGCTGGAGTGATGCCTGAGGTTTAATACAAATTTGGAGCTTAATGAGGCTGCGTTCGCCACAACCTGCTTCCACAGGGAGACCATACTCGGCTGTTGCCTCCCACCATCCACTTACTCTTCTTTTAAATTTACAGTCTTCTTTAGTTCAATATTTATACGTATTTACTGCTGCTTTGTTATTACAATTCTGATAGATAGAACATTCTAAACATGCAAGACTTTTACACACACACACCACAGGTAGGTTTTTGTTTGTTAGTCCGATACTCTATTTTGTTTCATTTCAATTTCAAGTTGTACATTTCGTTGAACCCATGAGGAAATCAGTCATCTGATTAAAAAGCACTACTTTGCAATCAAAACATATACTGCCTTACAGTTTCAACAACAGAGGATAATAATGTTGAAAATAAATACCTTCTGCTCTGTATCTTAACTGGGCATTATATACCACTGTCTGCATTGCCACTTTGATAAAGGTTTGTCCTGCTGAATGCTCTGAATGATGCTATGTGTAGTATATTTTATATCCCTCATAAACATTGACTGCAAGCGTACCCTATCCAACACTTTACAGAACTCTATGAGATCCGTTGCTAATATGACAATTTACCGACCAACTCTTGAATAAAAATGGCATGTATTGTGTTGAGAAGTATTTGTCCTGTGTGCGATTTATGAGCGAGTGATGATAAAAACATTGAATAAATGACTTACATCATTTTTTATAACATGTTTGACAGAGGCTGCTGCAGCAACATTGCCACCTAATGGCAGATTTTATGAAAATGCACCAGTAAATCACAGTCTGAGTTGTTTATAGTGCTAATAATGAAGTATATTCTGTGAATGATAGTAGTCTCTAAACACATCAACATTATATAATATAAAACAACACATTGGTGTAAAAATAGCAATATACTTCAAACAGCTGACATTGCTTATCTCTACGACATTCAACTATCTTGGATGTATTATTTACTTCCGGTGTCGCAGTTCAAAGTTGTCAGATAGAACGTAGCACGCTATTGGCTGACTGACTGTTAATGTTGTGAAACTCCATTGGATTGACGAACACACGCCTTACGTCTTTCTGAAAAAGCACAACAGACGGCAAGGTCAGCAAATGCTCTTAAAATATGTAAAAATGTGTGCTAAGAAATATAGTTACGTGCTTACAAAATGTCTTATGTGAGCGGACATCCATTTGGTTCCATAGATGAATGCTACTAGTTCAAGCTAACATCCATGCTAAGCTACACCTGCACAGCAGTGCAGGTGTAGCTTACTTAACGTTATGTCAGCAATAACTTTGCAAGTTGTGCCTTTGTACTAGTCATTTAAATATGTGTTATATTATTGCATAGAGATTTATTCATCCTTTGACTTTTTGACATCTGTAAAATATGATATGTCCTAGTTAGGCTAGTTGACAATGCTAAACTAGCAAATGTGTTAGCTTTCAAATTATACAACAATGTCCTCTGTCAAGTGTCGATATCACGTTTATACATGCCTAACCATGTACTAAATATAAGTGACTGACAAGAAAAGCAGTAAAGGTAACTTCTGTGTCAGAGTATGCTATGTTCATGTTTAACCTCAGTCTATATCCAAGTTTCCACCAAAACAAAGTTAACTGTTAAAGGTGTCAGCCAGGAGGAAACCAACAGTAACATTATCACAGTAAGATGATGGTGCAGGGTTTATTATAACCATGCTGCAGTTATAGAGCAAAACATTTGCCCTATAACTCAGAAAATATCATATTTTGGAGCTAAGCAACATTACAATGGCACAGTTTTAAAGGATTTGTAACACTATCACCATAGAAGCTGCAATAGGATGCATTTATAAGTCAATGTGTGTTGGCATCACTTACTCAAGCCCCAAACCATGCAACCTCTACAAGTGTTTTCACCTTCATATCGGTTCCTCTTTGTCTATCTCAGGTGTTCCATGTGCGTCTGATTGTGTCAACAGTAAGCATGCTGACTGCACAAAGAGCCTGTGCAGCGATGGCTGCCCGGCGCCTGGTTAGAGCTTCAGTCTCCTCAGCACACACACGCACCTCTCTGATCCACACTTCCCGACCGCGCCAGGACCAGGATGAGCTGCATGCTGAATGGGCCAGTCTGGCTAAGAAACAGCTGAAGGGGAAGAACCCGGAGGACCTTATCTGGCGCACGCCTGAGGGGCTCAACATCAAGCCTGTGTACACCAAAGCAGACTCAACTGACAGGCCAGATGAATTGCCAGGAGTTTTCCCCTACACTAGGGGGCCCTATCCTACAATGTACACCTCCAGACCTTGGACTATCAGGCAGTATGCTGGATTTAGCACAGTGGAAGAGAGCAACAAGTTTTATAGAGATAACATTAAAGGTAAATGTGTCGCCTTGAACTTTTTCTATCCTTTATTGGCAGTATTAGTCTTCTGTCAATGCACAATTGTGGACATCATGTTCCTGTAACACATTTGGACTCAACATATGAAGCTGTTCCATGTTCCTAGGACCTTGCTGTTTATTTATTCATTGAGTTGTAAGGTGATACACAAACATCAATTGAAGAAGATGAAAAGACTAAAATGACATGCAGATCTTTACGTACGGGTGTGTGCAGAAACTGCTTGAGATTATTTAACCTTCTAGAAGGTCGTCAAAGCTTGCAAGGGCCAACCATAAACACATTTTATATTTAAATCTACAGTCATTAAAATACACTGGAAAATAACCCAAAGTGAAAATAGAGGTAATTTTTTGCTGGTTCATCCTTTAGTCTTGTGTAGGAGGGGGCACTCAAGATTTGAGTTTTAGAGCGCAAAAGCCAAACAATGGAGAACAAAGAGTAATTAGGAATGGATTTTAAAACTGAATACCTTAAATCCTCCCACCACTATTTTGAGCAGGGTCTGAAAGTCAGTTCATTCCTCACCATTTCTACCGGCCAGTCATTTTTTATTGTTGTCTGCCAATCATGAAATCTTTGTAGAACGAGCCACTGGTGCCAAACAGTAAAAATATGGCATAATGTTACCTTAATCCCTTTTAATTAAGTAATTGCTTTCTTCAAATAGACCCTCTGTTTTACAGGTGCTAATTTCCTTCCCTTTTTTGCTGTCTGTTGATGTTTTCTCACTGAGCTCCATTCTATGACTCTCGTTCTTTTTCTGTATCTCCATTTCCCTATAGACCCTAATCCACTTCTGCTCTTTTATTTCAGCTGGTCAGCAGGGTCTTTCCGTGGCATTTGACCTCCCGACGCACCGCGGCTATGACTCGGACAACCCACGAGTCCACGGAGATGTTGGCATGGCCGGAGTTGCTATAGACACAGTGGAAGACATGAAGATACTCTTTGATGGAATTCCACTGGAGAAGATGTCTGTTTCAATGACAATGAATGGAGCAGTTATACCTGTGTTGGCGATGTTTATCGTGACCGGAGAGGAGCAAGGCGTGTCCAAAGCAAAACTTACTGGCACGATTCAAAATGATATTTTGAAGGAGTTTATGGTACGCAACACCTATATTTTCCCCCCGGAGCCCTCCATGCATGCCATCGCAGACATCTTCGCTTACACCACCGAGGTAGGTACAACTTAAGAAGTGTTACTTAAGTACTTGGGTAATCTGCTTGTCAGGTGGTCATCATATTGGGAGTTTAACTGATTTCAATGACTTAAATGTTCTCAGAACATGCCCAAGTTCAACTCCATATCCATCAGTGGCTACCATCTTCAAGAAGCTGGAGCTGACGCCATTCTGGAAGTAGCCTACACCATCGCTAACGGCCTGGAGTACTGCCGCACTGGTCTGAAAGCGGGCCTAACCATTGATGAGTTCGCCCCCAGGTAGACCAATATTCACTTTACTTTTAGATTTTCTTTAAAAAAGCACAAGGGATGCATATGTGCCAACCAGACACAAAAAAGATAAGATTACATTTAAAAGAGGAGGATCCTTCTTTGAAATGAACAGTGAATCTACATTTCTTTGGAAATAGAAATTGAGGATTTTAATAAAATCCCCTTACAAGCATCAAAATGTACACAGCACAGCACACACAGTGACATTTTGAATCTAAATTTAGACCATATTGTATAGGATGTTTATATGTACTCATTCATATCACGCTACAATTATTACATTTTAAAAAGGAAGATAAATCCTTTATTCCAAATAAAAATAAAACTTTTAGGAAGTTAATTTATTTTGAGCAATTTTCATTAGTGCTATAATAAATAATAATAATGCTATAATATCTTTATTGTGTATATATTGTAAACTAAGTCGATTTACTGATTTATGGTAGGATTGTTTTTCTGATGCCATTTTCTGGTTGAAGCATTTTTGCATGCCACAAAAAAACAACCGCAACCAGTCTTTATCTCACTTTGCACATTTGGTTTTGATTTGAATTTACATATTTGTATTATTATTTTGACATTTTATCAATACAATTATTCATAAATTATTCAATAACCGGCAGATAACAGATTATGAATATACCAATTTGTTGCACAGGGTTTAGGCTGAATAAATGAGGCCCCAGAAAATGATAAATGTGCTGTTGGGGAACATTCATTAAGGAATGTCACGAGGTAAAATTCCAAAGTCTGGTATTTGTATTGACTTCAAAGTATGTAAATACATACATATGGGAATAAATAATGACCTGATCCCAGTAGAGAGGCGAAGTCCCGCCCATCTACTTCCGACCCATGGGACCTTATTTCGGAAAAATTATGTATTGAAGTCAATGGGGAGAGAAAGATTATCTTTCGATCCCGTTTGAATTGTGCCACGAATTACACATATGATGTTTGTCAATCTTAAAAAATAATTTCCATGTCAAAAAAGTCACAGTTTGTCGTAAAACTGTTGAAATATAAGACTATGAAAAATACGCAACTAGAAAGACTACAAATCCCAGAATCCCGGTCCTGCATGCTGGCTCTTATGGAACCGACTAACTCCCCTTGTGTGTATGTACAGCTCTCAACATGCCCAGACTTGTAGTGATTTTCACCTCTTTTAATACTTTTCGCCTCATTCTGAAAGAAAGAAGTGAAATGTGCCAACGTGACGGCCGTGTTGGTGCGAGACGGGAGATGTAGTTCATTGAGCGGTTTCACACAAAAAAAAGTGTTACTTTTGACTTGCAAAATTATCTTTTAAATTGACAAACATCATATGTGTAGTTCGTGGCACAATTCAAACGGGATCGAAAGATAATCTTTCTCTCGCCATTGACTTCAATACATACTTTTTCCGAAATAAGGTCCCATGGAGGTCCCCCGGAAAGGGAGGGACTTCGCCTCTCTGTTGGGTAAATTATGCTGGAAACTGCATCAATTGAAATACTAAAAAGCAAGCTAACACTCCAGAGAAACAAGATGTCAGCCGTAACACCTGCCTCCAAAGTGTGACTGAGCTCTTAGCACCATGAGTGTCAGAAAAGTGCGTTACTTGTTGAAATTGACAGGGACTGCATCCACTTTACACTTATTCCCTTTAAACAGGAGCTTCTGCCGCCACTCAATAACCACCCAGTTCAGTATTTCCCCTCAGCTGGAAAAACTCAATGTCCTTTTAATGACAGCACTCCTAAATACCAAAACACTTAGCCCTGCTATCCATGATTTGCATT